AATTGTATAAGATACGACCTAGGCATCTCCAAAGACGAAGTTCAGCCAGATCGAACAACAACGGAGAATCCGGGAATACCTTGCTTCCGAAATACGGGTAAAGGCTGCAGAAGCCTTGCAAAGGCCAGGCGGGAGCTTATCGGAAAAAGCAAACCTATTGGCGATGACAGAGGAGCTTCAATTTAATGCTCGGTCACGCGATTCTCTAATATGTCCGGACGTCGAATGGGAGGTAGTTCGGCCAAATCAAACTGCGTTGTTTTTATCCTATCAAAAAAATCGAACAATTGTGCATCACGCACTGGTCGGTGTTCTCCCAAACTTGGCTCGTTCAGTTCGCTGTGGGCTCCCAGAGTCCGAAAAATTATCTTGCTTTTATACTAATGCTCAGAGCATTTTCATTAAGCAGGCCGAACAGGAAGATCGCCAAGTTTCTAAGCCACTCGACCTCATCGGTATAACAGAGATCTAATTACATTGTAATGACGGGCGCTAAAGTCGCGCTGTCGAGCACATCAGTCATCCACAATGGGGGGTTTACAAACAGAGTAGGAATAATTCGGTATTACCAAAGTGACATACAGTGCAAGATAAAGCGTACTTCAGACACGCTGTTCCCAGATGCTATTTAGTGCTGCCTGCAGTTACAGGACAGCGATGCTTTTCTTATAACCTTGTTGCACAGTCCCCTTACTCTACACCAGATACGGACTGCCATCTTGCGGCCGCTCTAAGAAGCACATCCTTATCATGGGTGCTTATCTAGAAACATCCGCTACGAGCGAAGAACAATTCAATGCCGATCTGCAGAAGCTCTTAATCACTGTTCAGTTTTACACTTACATCACTTTGTCTACTCAGTTCAGAACAAATAAGAAACCATATGTGCTGGATTTGTTGCTTACTCACGAGGAGCGTGCAATTGTTGTGCTTGTAATCGACTGCCCGTTGTGTCGCATTGATCATGCAACTATTGGTTTCAACCTTCGCTGATACGTAAAACATCAGAATGAGTACTGTTGTGTATTCGGTCAGCATGCTTGCCGACTAGTCTAGACTGACACGTGCACACAACCCGAGATACACGCATAACTGCAGGGTTCTCTGCCTCTCTATTGGTTCATCCTTCTCCTTGCGACATCTTCATGTACTCATGTAGTTAGACACTTCGCAGATTACAGTAGTTTGTTTACTGGAACGACGTTACTTCGGTTCGTGCATTTAAATAAATAAATAAATTTGTATATTTACCGACAGACGGTACACGGCCCCATAAGTGGGAGCGATCATTTGTATAGTGAATACGTTTCATAATAGTAAAGAACAGTTTGTTAATAGTATTTCAGATCATGATTCTTTTTCTTGGGTGCTAGACCCGTTCACCTCATATGCAAAAGTTACGGAGGTTTTTGTCCTCGGGAGTAGATAATAAAGGAAGGGACTACTAGGCTGCAAAGACACGGGATTTGGTATGGTAGGTAATGACAGGTAGTGGGTAAGTTAGCTGTAAGCGAATATCTTTTCATACGTTTTTTTTATACCAGCTTCTGTCAATGATTCTAGAGTTTGCTGTGAGTCAAATATCTTCACCATATTTGGTATAGTGAGGAAGGTCTGAAGGAGATTTCGAAAAGTGACATGGCTTGTACACATGCGTACTGTAGGGTTAGTTTGTTCCACAGACCAGTGTATCTCACTAAGAAGAAATTCGACCGAGTTTTATGACTTGAATGGTTTGTACGTATCAAGTAGCCGCCATTACGTGTGGGGTAGACTGCAGTCTTCCGTAGTTCAAGTGCGGTGCTGTCTGCGTAAGTCCGTTTGTTTATTATATTGTAGAAGAGAACTAGGTTGTTCTTTAATCGTCTCAGCCAAAGTGGATCCAGTTGGAGTTTTCGAAAGCGATCATAATAAGTCAGATTTGAGCAGCGCCCCATGACCAGCTCGGTAAATGATCGTTGGACATTTTCCAGAGCCGTTTTGTCTTTCTTTCTCAATTGGCTGTGAACGATATTACAATATTCCAGAGTCGGTCGTACCATTGTCTTGAATGACTCAAGTCGTGCTTCAGGTAGGGAAAATGTTCTGGTGATTTATCCGCATAATTGCTTTGCTTTCGCAACCTGATAAAGAACATGTTCTGGAAAACTGAAAGAGTTGGAGTGCCTAATTCCTAAGTCCCGAACTGAATCAGATGTTAGGATCACGTTTCCGGCAAGTATGATGGAGCCTTCCGAGATGCGGCATCTGTACCCAAGTACTTGGGATTTCACTGCGGAGAACTTCATTAATAAGCGCTCACTAGCTATATTTAGTGCGGATAGGTCTTCACAGATGTTCCCCAAACATATATGTAGTTGATCTGGATGAAATGAGTAAACTAGTTTGGTATCATCTGCAAACAGAATTGGGTGTCCATGTTTGATCGGGTCACGCACTATCAGCCTGTGCGAAGCAGCACACGTTACGATCGAGTTGCCTAGCTCATCAGCGCCACAACCTTACCGAAGAACCGTGAAAGTCGCCTGGCTCGAGTTCCTTAGCAAATTCAGTCGGCTGATTACAAATGCTTCTGGGACAAGAACTTGCAATGTACTTAAAGTAATTCCTTTTCTTTCAGGAGCAGAACTCGAAAATGGATGTTAGTCCGCAACGCAGAATGGCGGGAGCATAGAGTAGCTCCACGCCAGTTACTTGGGAAAAATATAAGGTGCAACATAATTACTGCACTCAAGTACTCAGAAAAGATAACTCTGAATATCGGTAGAATAACGTAAAAACCTTCAACGTGAACCGCAAACTATTGTAGAAGCACGTTACTCGTCTGTGAAGGGGAGGCAGGGATTCGCTTCACTCTGGACGGCCGATGGCACAAAAAGAACGGCTAAAGAAGTACCAAACATGTTGCGGATACAAATGCCCTCATGTTTAGTTGGTCTTGCCATTAAGTAATCGTACGAGTTTTGTCGCCCCGCCGCCGAAACTAACATACACCTCTTTACCGCCAAAGCTGTCTTTCAAAAGCTGACGTAGTGGCGCAATCACAGCTCCCCGGGTGTCAATACCATTAGTCCATAGGTACTGGGAACTCAGCAAGATAACTGGCGGAAACTTTAGCTCAGTTCTTCCAGGGTTGTGTAGAACAGAGCCGGGTTTCCGCTATGTAGAGGCTTGGAATCATAACTCCGATCCACAGAGACCGAGGCAGAACTGAGCGCTCAAACTACTGCCTAGTATCTCTTCTCCCTAAACTATCCAAATTCATGCAATCCATCGTTGTCGATACACTGGTGTGCTATTTGGAAAACTGCAACATTACTAATCCTAAACAGCACGGTTTTCGTGGACAGCGATCGTTCACAACGAAAGTATTTATTGCATTCAGTAGTTGGACGGAGTCAGCTAATGATGCGGAGAAGGTTGCTGGGATCAGCTGAATATTCGAAGGCATTTCTTTGTCTAAATCCCCTGGTTTTCTTTTTCAAACTCCATTATTACGGGATCAGTGACCCTCTTTTATGCTGGGTTGCCAACTTCCTCCTTCAACGGCAATTGGTGGTCAGAGTTCACTGCCATTTACCTGACCTCATACATGCCGAGTGTGGTGTGCAGCAAGGTTTCGGCCGATTACGAGGCGACCTGATAATGGCATATTAAATTTTACATAATCCAAATCATGTGTGCTCCTCTTTACTACAACTTAGTAGCAATACAAAACGGAGAGGTCACGCATTAAAACTCGCTGAACAGTATAGTCATCTAGAGTGACGGGGGAATTACATTTCTATTTACGTGCGTCACACGTAAAACACTCCTCGAATCGGTCATCTGTGCAGCGAGGCTAGCAATATGTAAAAGACGGCTGAAGGAAACACTCAATCACTTACACTTTGTTACTTAGCACAATGACTTCATCCTACTCTTGGAATATACCTTGGATTTAGTAACTGTGACCTGTGGTGCTTTGAAACTACTCATAACAAACGCTAACTCCTCCCTTTCATGCTCAAAGTACTAACTCGTTTATTATTACTTTTTTGTTAGCTCTAACAAATAATCAAAGCAATCAAAGCAATGCGTTTTGACCCACATAAACTTTTACTGTTCCAGGTTGAGCAAAATATATATGTAGGCTTAGTACGCGTTTTCCGCTAAACAGCACCGTTGCAACTCGTTTGCAAATGAAGTTTACTGCTTACAGAGGAGTAGTAAGGGGAGTTGAATGGTAAAGGTAGAAATTCATCACATCTGACTTACTCAGACAGCCATCACAAGCCTGGAAAAGCACTGCACGCGTTTCATCCTTTCGGGAACCGTCAGCATTGCGTATTCCATCGGGCTCGAACCCGCAACCCGACTGTTGCCAATCCATGGTTGAGACCACTGAGCTACGGGTGACGGCAAGGACCATCGTGAGTAAGTTACTAGATGTGATATAGCGCCACTCATTATCCACTGACTCGGCCGGTGGCCGAGTGGCCTGCACGTTTGCTTTGCAACCATAAGGTCACCGGTTCGAATCCGCGTACGGTGGGCGTCCTCGCGATATACTCAGCCCGCGCGCGACTGGTGGTGGTCGCGCGGCAGCGAAGCGCCGTTACGGCGTACAGCTGACGCATTCTCTTTTTATTTAGAGGACAGGGTAGCCCCTCACCAAGCGACGAACAAACCAAACCTGTACCATTCAACTCCTCCTGCTACTCCTCTGTAATCAGTGCGTAAACCAAATTGCTTATAATGCCATAGGTCAATGAAGGCTTAAGTTCGGTATGTTCGTTGCTTGGTGTGGGGGCTAACCTGTCCTCTGCATGGTAGTAACGTGCAAGTCAGTGGATAGTGAGCGGCGCTATATCACATCTAGTAACTTAGCCACGACGGTCGTTGCCGTCCCCCGTAGCTCAGTGGTCGCAACCACGGCCTGGCGACAGTCGGTTTACGGGTTCGAGCCCTACCACAGTCCGAAGGAAATTTACTGTTTTCCTAGTTATCAGAGTAGACCATTGCAGGTTTTATCATGACTGAAATGCACTTGAGTTACCATATGAAAACGAAGTATTAGGAGACTTGTATAACGGAAGCACTTAGGCGGGAAATTGCATTATATGGCAAGCGATTGGCAGGCGTGTAGAGGTCAGGAGAAATGTTCGAAAGCAGCTAGCTTATTTGTGGTTCAGCAGAATGATGGTCTTAGCCCAATTTGGGCAGCAGGCTGTCGGTACAGAACTGGTACAAGCATTGAAGTATTTCTTTGGTAACAATTTGCCTCACACATGCTTTGGATCGTTTAACGGAGGGTACGTCTTGGCCCTGATGGGTTCTTCGTAAGTATATCCGCTTCCGATTCCAAAATGAATATGTTTGACTCCATGTGGTATGGAAGCCGGCTTTACGGTATTTCTACTCAATCCGCGATGCGGCCGCCTTTGGTAATCTAGCTTATTTAAAGGGTTGTCCATTCCCATGGTAACGCAGCTGGTAGGTTTGTCCCACCTGTCATAAGCCCACTGCTCGCAAAACTTTTTATCATCCTGCCGAATCTGCTTCAGGCGTCTGGTATACCAGTCTGGTTCAACCGCCGCAGCGGAATCCGCTATGATGTCCGGATGACTTGCGGAGTTCCACTTGATCCATCCACCCTGCAATTCACACGAAACGATAAATTATTACTCAACGACATATATATAATAAATATGCATTCACAAGTATAGTCATAGCACACCGACCGAGGAGCTTCTGACAATCAGCTTCTCTTACATGCCATCATCATCATCAATGCGCGTTAGCCGAAGTTGAAAAACTTACCACCGCTGTCTTGCAGCAATACAGAGAGGAGGTCAAACATTACAGACCCAAAAAGTTACAAAAAGTAACCTGATGCTAAATATCAAAGCAGTATATGGTTTGAGTCCGTTGTTGGACGGGACGCTAAAGGCGATGGGAGGAATAAACTGACCCACAACACATTGCCATTGTGATCAGCTCTTTGCCATAGCAGCTAGGGTGGTTAACTAGACGTGGTCATCGTCTTTCGGTCCCCATCCCAGCAGTCCGAAAACATCAACGGACGCCGGGTTCGAAGTGAGGAACTTCATCCTTCTTACCATGCGCTAGTGTCTTCGAATCGGAGAAAGCTTTTGTACTTTGCTCGACTGAGTACTCACACCAAGGTGTACTGCGCCTGAGTCGTGACGGCGTGTCGCAGGTAATTCCGCATGTGTGGCAAACAAACTATTTAGTGTTGTAACTGGTCCTGATTCACTCAACTGGTGAATACCTAAGGTGATGGATTAGTACCCTGGAAACTTGGACGTATCTCTGGACTACCCCAGTAACTGTTCCTCCGATGACTTTTACATACAAACTTGTTAGTAGACACCAATAGAAGCAAACCTGTTATATTGTTAATAGCACTGCAAGCTTACGTAATTCCATATGAGTCAGAATATGTGGACGAATTGTAAAAGTTGCTTCTTGGCTGTTACGAATGCTTGTGGCTGATAAACGGAGATATCTAGATGACAACCATAAACCTTACCTGACTAGGCTAATTAGCAAACCGTTTGAATCACGTAAATATTTTACAGACCTATTCAGAATAAGTTGAACTGGTTTGTGCCACTTAACAGTGCTCGTGGTAGTGAAATTAATTAGTTCCTTAATAACGCAAACTTATCTACCGCCAGGTATCTAGCAAATCGGTTTAAGAGACTGTTGAATAGACAGTGTCACCCGGTTATATAATATACACTCGCCTTCCTCTTCCTATTCCTAAGAAACATCACAGGAGTTTCACACACTTCATGGAAACCAATATATTATATCTTACCGGAAACATAATAAATACGGATGTACAGCATGATTTAGTTGACCGGAAGCGCACCTACAAGGCGCTGTTCCACCAGTGGGTCAATGTTGACCTGGATTTTAAGTAGACAAAAATCTATGAGAAATAGCTGAAAGCACAAGGGCATGAAGATTGATATTTTCTAACCTAAAGAGCAAAGTTTTGTCGAGGTCCCTATATTTTTTAAAATAAGTTTTGGTTTTTTGCCGTCACGCTGCTTGTGCCCCGAATAAATTGCGAATTGCGCAATGTTTTTGCTTCGGAGTGGCCATTGGAGAACGTGAGACGATAAACGGGATGCTGTTATTCACAGACTAAGCTGCGTGCATGTTATAGCTTGTAATCCCAGGTTCGGATTCGCGTTTAACGCCGGTGCCGCTCCAAGTGCTTTCCCACCACCACTAGAGTACACACACACAAACAATATACACGTTAGCTAGAGGTAAGAAACACCTCAGCTACTGTGCCTCAATACTTCAAGGAAAAGAAGGGAATAAAATGCAACAGGTGCAAGCCAGCTGATATACTAGTAAATGAAGGGTATCGCTCCGGTAAGCTACCTGTCGGTTACTATGCAGAAGAAAAAAATAACTTACTATATAAAATTATAACATGTTAAATAATGAGACCGTGGTTGGAGAGGGAGGCTGAGTGATGGGGTTGGACAAAGAAACTCACAACAGGAACGCCACTGAAGTCGGCTTTTAGCTATATCAACAATTGTATCCAGCCAAACGTGTTCATCGTCTTTCGGATCCCAACCAGGAAGCCGAGACGCTCCAACTGAGGTCAGCATCAAAGTGACGGTCGTCATTCCTCTTCACCAAGTCATCGCTTGGCCACCTCCCCTCTTCTTCCATTCACACCCCCGGCGCGCAAACAACGCACTTCGCGGGAGTCGGTGGGCTGACATGCGTAACACGTGGCCGAGCCATCGGAGCCTGGTGTGGGAAATACCGGTAGTAAGAGGTTCATTTCTTTTTCCTGTGCCATAAACAAGGCGTCCAAGACACTCGATGCCCACGCGGTGTTCCCACCAGATGTGAGTTAAATTGCGAAGGCACCGGTGGTCGAACGCAACTAGCCTCTTTATGTCCGTTGATCTAAGGGGCCAGGTTTCACAGCTGTACAGTAGGCTCGAACCTACCGCTGCATTGTACACTCTACACTTCAGGGCGAGTGTAATGTCACGCCGGTGCCATAAATGGAGAAGGTTAGCAAAAGCGACTCGAGCTTTTGCTATACGGTTTGTGATCTCATCTTCATTCCCAAGTGCGCTGATACAACTTCCCAAGTAGTTGAATTGTTGAACGACTTTTAGCTGATCTTCACCGAGAGTCAGCGAAGCAGGCGGTCCAGGTCAATCTTGGAGGAACGCTTTGCACTTCGATGGTGCAAAGCAAAGCCCGAAGCGGCTGACTGTCAGTGCTAATCTGTCCAGTGCCGCTAGGCACGTCTGGAAGCTGTCACAGATTAGGGCAATATCGTCAGCATAATCCAAGTCAAGAAGCCGTTCTCCTGGGAGCAGATCCACACCTTTTAAGTCGGGTCCTGTGAACGCGATTTTTATGACTTCGTCAATAGCGAAATTGAAGAAAAATGATGACAGCGGATATCCTTGTCGCACAACGCTGAAGATGTTAAAGGGCGACGACAGCTTGCCGCAAGCTTTCCCTCTGCCTGAGCTACGCGCGTACAATGATCGGATAATATTTACATATTTCTCATGTACATCCTTCCTGAGCAGACAGTCCTAAAGTGCACGTCTATCCACCGAATCGAACGAACCTTTAACATCGAGGAAAACGACAACGGTGGGCCGTCAATATGTGTGACAGTGCTCCAACAACTGATACAAAGTGAAGATGTGGTCGATGCCGCCCCGACCTCGACGTAACCCGGCTTGCTCTTTACGAAATATGGCTTTAATGAGCGCCAGTCATTCTGTGAAGGATGACAGAGGCAAGCTATTTTGAGGCGATGCAGACCAGACTGATTCTTCTATGATTGCCACATTCCGATCGTAAGCCTCCCTTAAAAATTGGGACTATGATGGAGCGGCTCCAGTCGGTTGGGACAGTTCCTTGCTTCCCTAGTTTCACTAGTAACTCGTATAAATCATCCACAAGAGCAGGTCCCCCCAATTTGAAGAGGGCTGGAGGTAGTTTATCTGGTCCCGCGGTTTTAGTTAACTCCAACTGTCCGATCTCACGTTCGACTTCTGAGCGAGAGGGTGGATCCAACGGGACAGCCCAGGGAGCGGAGCGATCAGTGGCCGGCGAGAAATCTGACAATTCCGACCGATTAAATTGCATTTCAAAATGCTCAGCCCAACGCTCCAAACGTTGTGACAAATTGTGGATAGGCTGTCCAATCTCGTCAAGTATAGTTTCACTAACACCAGGCCTTCTGCTGCCCGTTGCTCGTATCAGACGGAATAACTTACGATGGTTATTAAGGGCAGTGGCCATTTCCATCTCTGGTGCACGATGAGACCACTTCAGGCTAGCACGGAGTTTTGCCCGACACACTTTGCGGGTTTCATCGTGTTCGCTTCCAGCCGGAATATGCCGGCGAGCATCGATAAGTTCCAGAGACTACGAAGAGTCCAGGTCCATGTTGGCGATTAGACATACCACATGAGGATTTTCCTGCTGCTAGTAAGGTCTGGTGAATTGGAGACCAGTGAGCTTCAACTGCATCCAGTGTGTGCTTACTCAGCTCGCACGACAGTGTACTTTGATAGGCATTCAGAACAGCTGGTTTCGCCGGTTGGCTGGTGTCAATGCGCTTACAACGTCGTCTTCGGCGTCCGCCAAAACGCATCCGCAGGTCAGCACATACAAGTGCATGGCCGGTGTCCACACATGTGCTCCAAATCGAGCGACAGTTCTGGACGCAGCCTCTCCATCGGTAACTTATCGCAATGTGATCGATTTGCGTCCATATCTGATTTCAGGCTGGTAGGCGCCAAGTCACCCTCCGGCGGGTGCTGTGTCGGAAATTAGTGCACGCAAGATACAAGTGAGCATCTTCACACAAATGTAGTAACCGCTCACCGTTATCATTACGGGAGCCTACATCATGTTGGCCGCCCAGATGCATTTCGTCAGTAAACAACTTTCCAACTTGAGCGTTCCGATCCCCAGTCAGCACTACAGCGTCCGTACTTCTTCTGTGGCGAAGGAACTCGTTCAATTGGCGATGGAAGTCGTCTTTTACCGAATCATCGCTAGAATTTGTGGGTGCATAGGCAGCGATGACGAATATACACCTGCTAGCCCTGCACGACTTCGAAGCTTTGAACGAGCCAGCCAATCGGATCGCACACATTCGACTACTGATTGGAATCCAGTCAACCAGAGCAGCTACAGGCCGGGGACTCAGGGCAATACCACCAACAGTTTGCCAGGTGCTAGAAGCTGCATCGTCACCGGATAGGCGTAATGAGGAAGTACTGCTAGTGTCACCTGAATGGGATCGCAAAGTGAGCACAGAGCTAAAGCCTTGCAGGCGGGTCTCCGATAAGCAGCAGATATCGATCGAGAGGGCCTCTAATGTTCAGGCGAATACTGCCTGTTGACCGATCTGTAGCAATGTGCGTACATTGAGGCATGCCAATCTGAAGGATGATCGAGGGCTCCAAATGGAAGTCGATAAACTAGGCTTGGTCGCTTGGTTGGACATGGGCTTGTCGACAGGATAGGAATGACACTCCGCGTTCGCGTGTGAGTTGAAACTAGAAGACAAGCGACTACTGAAGCAAGGTTGGGGGAGGGCCAAGAATTGCGG